GGAAGGATGGAAGGCTGAGTCAACCCTGAGCCGGTGAGATTTGAACCACTGAACTGTTAATCTAGCAGTCAGCTGAAGTGGCCTGCAGTACTGCACTCTACCCACTGCGCCACTACGGCTAATTAAAGCTCATACCACTTATAGTTAATAAAATGACTATATATTGTTGAAGGGCATGTCTATATTGTATAGCTGCTGCATAGGGGAAGCTGTCAGCTTGTTTCCAGAACATAAGACTGTACAACTTCTCCCCACCCTCTGAACATGGCAAGCAAATGGACGTACACAAAATACATGCTGTAGGTAACAGATGCTGCTGCCATTCAGACCTGAAAGCAAAGAGAAGATAAACATAACAGTACATTAACTCAGTTGCTAGATGGTGTCTGGATTTCATATCTTTTTTTTTGTCTGCATTAGAAGAGGCTAGTCAAAATTAATATGTGTTCCAACATCTTCATTCTAAATAAATTATTGGAATTTATTTAGCTGCCTGGCAATGAAGATTATAAAGTAACAAACATATCTATTGCCATTCTGAGTGATAAAGATAGAATAGAATTCTTTATTGGCCAAGTGTGATTGGACACCCAAGGAACTTATCTTTGGTGCATATGCATTTGGTGTGCATAAAAAGATATAAAAAGATACATTTGCCAAGAATTATAAGGTACAACACTTAATGATAGTCAAAGGGTACAAATAAGCAATCGGGAAACAACCAATATCAATATTAATCGTAAGGATACAAGCAACAAAGTTACAGTCCTGCAGTCATAAGCAGATGGGTGATAGGAATGATGAGAATATGTGTCATATTAACATGTGTCACGTTAATTGAAGTAGTTCTGTATTCAGCCAATCTTTGTTGTTAAGGATTTTTATAAATATGTAATTATCAATCATAAAATGACTTTTTCCATAAAATCTATTCATTTATTATTATTATTTTTAAAAATTCTAATTGTATTGAATATTGGAATCTCTACAGAAATTACCAAAACCTTTTCAGGAGACAATAACCCATAATTAGGAATTCAGCACCCAAGAAAATAATACAGGAAATTTTGAGGAATCGTCAACACATAAACAACACATAAATCAGCTAAATTTCCAAATATCACTGTTTTCATTTTTCTTGTCTATACTTCTTTCTGTGAAATATTATTTTTAATAATTTGAAATATACATGTTTATCCATTAATTTGTACAAACTTTGTCAAAGACAGATTATATGGGACAAATCTTGTCTCCTTCTTTGACAGGAGAAACTACCCTAAGTCAGAGGTCCCTGACGTGGTGGGGCAGTGGGAATGAGCTATTCAGAATTGGGCCACGTGAGTGACTGGCTGGAGCGTGCATGTGTGCAGATCAACTTACGTGAGCGGCAAATCAGTAGACATTCATGCATGTGCACACTAGTCCGCCACTCACACAAGTCGAGCTGCGCATGCATGCACCACCCAACCACTTGTGCAAGGGCTGCATGTGCTTGCATGGCCCAGTTCTCTTCTCCCCCATAGCTGGGCCGCCAAGCCGCAAAGGTTGCGGCTGCTACTCTAGGTGACAAAAAGAATGCTGTCAATATAATCTACTTTGATTTCAGCAAGCCCTTGAATGAGATTCCACATCACATTCACATCTACAAGCTGCCAAAGTGTGGTTTGCACTCAGGAGATCAGTATGAATGAGCTTTGTCAAGTTGCAGAGCAGTAACCAGTGGGATTCTACAGAATCTGTCTTGGGACTAGAAATATTTAACATTTTTATCAATGGTATGAATGATGGCTGCTTATCAAATCTGTGGATAACACAAACATGGGAAGTCAGGCCAATATCCAGAATGACAGTAGGAGTTTGCAGTGGAGAGTTTGGAAGACTGGGCTGAAGAAAACAAGATGCCAGTTCAGCAGAGAAAAATAAGGTTTACATAAGGAGGAAAAACATAAGACATATACAAGGTGGGAAATTCATGGCTTAGAAACACTACATCTGAAAAGGACTTGGGTAATGTCATTGATAACAAGATGAGTATATTAGACAGCTGCTAGGAGAGCAGTAGTGGAAGAAGCATTATATTAAAGATTCATGAAACCATTATTCCTTTCCATTTAGCATTGGTGAGACCACACATCAGAGGTGGGTTGCTCCTGGTTTGGCCCAGTTTGGCTGAACTGGTGGTGTCAGCGGCAGGAAGCTCCACCCAGATGCGTCTGTGCATGCGCAGAAGCATTGTGCACACAACCACGCATGCAAGCACGAGCGAACAGGTAATAAACCGGTTAACAACCCACCACTGGCACACATGTATATAATTCTGAACACCATATTTCCAGAATGATATTGACATATTAAGAGGGTTCAGAGGACAGCAAGGATGATACAAGAGCCTGAGGAAATGCTCTAAGAGGATAAATTAAATGAGGGGTCATTGGTGCTCCCTAAGCTTGGTTGTTATCTTGTAGGTGTTTCATTTCATAAACTAGATAGCATCATCCAAAAAATATTACCTAGTTTGGGTAACGAAATGTCTGCAAGAAAATAAACAAGCTTGGAGAATTCCAAGGACCCCTCATATCAACCCTGAATTACAAATATTCTCCTTTATCAGGACATGTTAAAGGAAGCTGGGAGGTTCAGTCTGGAGGAAAGAAGCTGCAAAAGTTAGCCAAGTTTAGTACATTAAGAGAAAAGATATGAAAGATGTTCAAGAACTTTTTTCCAGTGGTCACAGACGATAAGTCCAAGAGTAATGTTGCAGCTACCTAGGTTTCATGTAAATATAAGGAAAACACTTTTTGACAGAAAGACATATGTAACATGGGAAAAGTCTACATATAGAGAGACTGTGGATCTCCATATCTGAACATTTTTAAGAAAAGAATGGACAGCCATTTCACTCTAATTAGTTTTCATGCATCTTGTAGAAGATTGAACTAGATGATCTTACTGGCCCCTTCCAACTCTACAAGTTTATGATTCAGATAAAATTTCTTCTACTCTTTGGCATATTCCTATCCACTAAATTTCTAATTTTCATAATAGAAAAAGAATAAATAAGGAGACAAGCAACTTAGGAGAAATTTCCTGACAGTTAGAAAAATTAATCAATGGAAAAGCTTGCCTCCAGAAGTTGTGAATGCTCCAACACTGGAAGTCTTTAAGAAGATGTTGGATAGCCATCTGTCTGAAACGGTATAGGGTTTCCTGCCTAGGCAGGGGGTTGGACTAAAAGACCTCCAAGGTCCCTTCCAACTCTGCTATTGTATTGTTTTGTATAATAATTAGGAATACAATTTTGAGGGGACCTGGAATTTTATGCCTCAACAAGCATTTTTCAGAAATGTTTTTAAAAATAGAGAGTTCTCTTTTGGGTGCTTATTATATCTTCTATAAGACTTCAATTCTGTTTTTGTTACAATTAATTTGAGGAAGAGAACATTAAATAGCATTCTCAATATTTAGGTAATATAGAACAAGTAAAAGAAGATTCGGTGTCTTGAATTGTGTGCAAACACCTGAATATAATCATGAGAGCAAGTAAACTAACCATAGATTAAAATGAGCAATTTTCATTAATTAATTTATAACTGCATAAACAATGCTTGGAGTAAAATATGTATAATGGATTATATCCACTTAAAAGAATAATATAATAAACTTCCAAAGCATATACTTTCCCAAAGATAAACTCTCAGCAACACATTAAAAATTGGATCAATATATTATTCGCTTCCTTCATATCCTGTTTAAAAAGGTAAAGGTACCCCTCGCACATATGTGCTAGTCGTTCCCGACTCCAGGGGGCGGTGCTCATCTCCGTTTCAAAGCCGAAGAGCCAGTGCTGTCTGATGACAATTCCATGGTCATGTGGCTGGCATGACTAAATGCCAAAGGCACACGGAACGTTGTTAGTGGCCCCTATTTTTCTACTTGCATTTTGACATGCTTTCGAACTGCTAGGTTGGCAGAAGCTGGGACAAGTAATGGGAGCTCACTCCGTTATGCGCGCTAGGGATTCGAACCACTGAACTGCCGACTTTTCGACTGACAAGCTCAGCGTCTTAGTCACTGTTTACTAATGGCAAAAAATATATGATAGCCCTTCTATCTTCTCTAAGTCTACTTGTTAAAAGGACCATTTACTATACAGTTGCAATAAATCCCCTATTGAACAACTTAAACCTGCATCACCCCTCTCTAGGAACCACAAAAAAAGGAATACAAAGAAACAAATGCAAAGAGAAGTGCCACAAAGAAACAATAACATTTAGAAAATA